AAAGAAAGAGGCAAAATGGTTCCAGCATGGGTGCTGTCGCACCCCCTGGCTTGAAGTGGTTTCCCTTATATACAGGGTTTACAGTTTGGTTCAGCAACCCCACTATAAAAATTGTCCCAGCACCGCTGGACGGGAGTTGACACTTTCTCCCCCCAGAAGAAGAGAAGTACTAATTTTGTGGCTTTGCTGCTGAAAGCTTCTGTTTTCATTTGCCATCTGTCTTCTTTTTCCCTGAGATTGGCTCATTTCTTTTTGTCCTGCAGAGGTCAGTCTTGCCCACCACACTTTGCAAAGCAGCAAGCCTTACTGATGTGCTGAGGGCATATTCCATCATCCTTATGCTCTTCACGTAACAGGGAAGCCAGTACTTGGGCTGTGTCCTTTCCCATGTGGAACTGTTCATCAATTTCTCTGCACAGGAGGGGTGTATAGTCCTCACCAGGAACAATGCTGCAAACAAGCCATCATAACCATGCTAAATTTTACCCTCAGAAATGCAAACAACGGAGAATGTCTAATTTGTACCTATTTTGACCTTGCAATCTGAGAGTAAAAGATTCCAGTTTGTTGTCAGCCATAGTTAAGGTATCTCAATCTTGACTATGGTAAGTCATGGATGTTGGTGATTCTTTAGGGCTAGTATCTGCAATACCCCAGATTTCTGTATGTAAAATAGGCACTAGCAAACAGGCACTGTACTTCTAATCCAATCTGCTCTTTTGCTAACAGCTGGACATGAATAACAATGGACTTGCACACAAATGTTGTTGGTGCAATTTAGAATATAGCCTTGTTTCTGAACTACCAATTTAACATAAGAGTATAGCACATATGCCACCAAACTATATAATTTTGAAACTTTGGCCTAGTTTATACTACAAAGAGAGGTCGACATTAAGTCGCCTTCCATCAACTTAGTTGTGCATGTGTCTACATGCAAATTTGTCTCCCACCGATATATGTGCCTGCTTACAGCAACGCACTAACCACCTCCCCAAACAGCGTTGGGCCATAGTCGACATATTGTGGTTGACACAGTGTGAGCAGAGACACTGCGTGACTTATGTCGACCCTCACAGTCCTCCAGCAACTGTCCCACAATGCCCAACAGCGACTGCTCTGTTCACAATGGTGAACTTCACTGCCAAGGGGTCTGAGAGACCAGAAGCCACCACCCCCTTCTTTAAAACTACCCTGTATTTTTGAAATGCCTTTTCCTGACTGCCCAGTTTGGCAAGCACACCCAGCAGCTCTCCATTGTTGTGTGCAACTGCCCAACCGACCATTCCAGCTACATGCTCTAGACCAGTAATACTCAGACTGAGGTTCGTGAGCCACAAGTGGCTCTTTGATGTGTTTCCTGAAGCTCTTTGTAGCACATGGTATTAAAACACAGTATGATTCAATTATTAACCAATCTATGTTAGTCACCATTTAGATGCTTTTACTAGGTTATTAACCAATTGTAGTTGATAAAATAAATAATACTTGGTCAGTCGTTTTGCTGTGAGAATAATATATAGTAAATGAAACAATTAATTCATAGATTCATAGATTCTAGGACTGGAAGGGACCTCGAGAGGTCATCGAGTCCAGGCCCCTGCCCTCATGGCAGGACCAAATACTGTCTAGACCATCCCTGATAGACATTTATCTAACCAGTTATGCATCCACCTTATAATAGCCCCATCTAAGTTGTATTTGCCTAGTTTATTGATAAGAATATCATGCGAGACCATATCAAATGCCTTACTAAAGTCTAGGTATACCACATCCACCACTTCTCCCTTATCCACAAGACTCGTTATCCTATCAAAGAAAGCTATCAGATTGGTTTGATATGATTTGTTCTTTACAAATCCATGCTGGCTATTCCCTATCACCTTACCACTTTCCAAGTACTACTATAGCTCTTTTGGGTAATGTTGATCGCTAATTTGGCTCCTGAACCACTGAAGTCTGTGTCACCGCTCTAGACACACTCCTGCCTGGATTAGACAGGAGATATTGGATCTCCTGGGCCTGGGGAGATCAGACTGTCCAAGCACTGCTACAGAGCAGTCGTAGAAACATGGATGGCTACAAGCAGATTGCACAGGGGATGCAGGAGAAAGGGTAAAACAGGGACCAGCAGCAGTGCTGTGTGACAGCATAGGAACTGCAGCAGGCATAACACAAGGCCAAGGAAACCAACAGTCAATCTGGTGCTAACCCGCAGACCTGCCACTTTTGCAATGAGCCGTTTGCCATACCCTGCCAGCACCCTGCAGACCACCATGGACAGCTCAGTGGAGCTTGAGACCCTTCCATGAACAGCGAGGAGGAAGAGGGACACACTTGGAGGTAACCAGCTGTGCTGCAAGACAGGATCTTTTTGAGATTCCACTGCAGCCTAGCCAGTCCCTTCAGCTGAGCACGAATGAGTCCAATCCAAGGGAAGGCACCTCGGGTAAGTGTGTGAATGCATTTTTCCCTTAAAATGTTTAAATGTGAAGATGGCACCTGGCCGCACCCCAAGTTAGCAGGGCACAAATATCTACTTTTCATTGTTTGACACCTGCGAGAAGAGGTAGAGGTACAACCAAGAGAGGTAGAATTATTATCTGCTTTTCATTCCCCTATGGGCTTAGGCAGGGAAGCCATGCAAAGCAGTTAGTTTGTGTACACAGGGATGTCCCTTGTATCCTCCTGAGAGGCCTCAATGAAACTTTCTTGGAGGTACTCTGCAACCCTCTCCAGGAGATTCCTAGCGATGGCTGCCTTATTTCTTCCTCCGCGATAGAACACTTTCCCACAGGCTAGTGGCATATGGGCCTGGATGGCTTCGGGACGGCAGCAACAGCTGTGCTCTCTGTGCCTTTGTGACCCTCAGGAGTAAGAGATCAGCTAAAATCACCACTGCCTGTGGAAAATACTGCAAGTACGCATGCCATTGCCCTGTGCTCGTACACATGGAAACAGGGGCCAATCTTTTAATGTTTCATGCAACTGAACGTCATCATTCCCCGCCTTGTCCCTGGTAGGCCATGGCTATGATTGGAGAGCAGTGCTGTGCAGAGGTGCTCCAAAGCTGAAGTGGCAATAAGCAAGTCTTATTTAAAACTCTCATGCGAATAAAGGAAGGGAGTTCTGAATCTTATCTTTTGCTTTCCATTGTGACTGCAAGTACAATGATACATCTGTCTGTTTGATCTGTAGCTGCTGCCGTTGTGGCCTGGAGAGGTGCCCCCTCCGCACCCGTGGAATGCCTGATCCTGATGAGGAAGAGAAAGAAGTGTACTGGGGAAGACATATCCACCTAGATGCTGCAAAGTCCCCACAGGAAAAGGGGAGGGAGATGCACCAGGACAGAACGGGGCTTCTCAGACAGCAAACACAGATGCTGCAGACTGTTGTTGACCCACAGGCTCTCCTCCCTCTGTAATCAATGGAGAACTGCATTTCAGCAGCTTCCTGTACCTCCCAATATTCCACGTGGCATTATTGGCTGCGTCTCTACTCCTACCACTCGGCATCAGGGCAAAGTAAGGAAAACCACAGCTTCACATTCAGTGATGTGTGAGAGCCGTGGCTGGAGTATGTTTGGCAGACATGGACAGAAATCAGTAGAATCATAGAACTGGAAGGGACCTCGAGAGGTCATCTAGTCCAGTCCCCTGCACTCATGGCAGGACTAAGTATTATCTAGACCATTCTTGACAAGTGTTTGTCAACCCTCTCTTAAAAATCTCCAATGATGGAGATTCCACAACTTCCCTAGGCAATTTATTCGAGTGCTTAACCACCCTCACAGTTAGGAAATTTTTCCTAATGTCCAACCTAAACCTCCCTTGCTGCAATTTAAGCCCATTGCTTCTTGTCCTATCCTCCGAGGTTAAGAAAAACAATTTTTCTTCCTCCTCCTTGTAACAGTTTTCAAGTATGTAAAAGGCTGTTATCATGTCTCCTCTCAGTCTTCTCTTGTCCAGACTAAACAAACCCAAATTTTTCAATCTTTCCTCATAGGTCATGTTTTCGAGACCTTTAATCATTTTTGTTGCTCTTCTCTGGACTCTCTCCAGTTTGTCCACATCCTTCCTGAAATGTGGTGCTCAGAAATGGACACAATACTCCAGTTGAGGCCTAATCAGCGTGGAGTAGAGCGGAAGAATTACTTCTCATGTCTTGCTTACAACATTCCTGCTAATATATCCCAGAAGGATGTTCGCTTTTTTTGCAACAGCGTTACACTTTTGCCTCATATTTAGCTTGTGGTCCACTATGACCCCCAAATCCCTTTCTGCAGTTCTCAAAATCAATTTAGCTTTCCCACTATCGTGGGCTGGATTCCCAGCTAGAAGTATTTAATGTGGCAGCTGCTTCCTGAGAAGTTTGGCCTCTTGAGTGCATTCTTTTGGGGTGGTAAGAAGGATTCGGAGGAACCCAGAGGTAGTTTGCTTTTACGCATTTTCTGGTAAGCCTGTTTTCCTCAGATCTCACATCTTCAACCTTTTCAGTTGGGTAAGTTTGGTAGATTGGAGAAAATATTTTGTAAGTATACAATGCAACTGAAGGAAGGGGAGGCTCCAGAACAGAGTCCAGTCCTTAGCTTACACTTGCACCCAGGAAGATTAAAGAAGGTTCATTGGTTTCTTGAGAGCAGGACCTCACTGTTGGAGGGAGACCAGCAGCCAGTGAAGAAACTGCTAATAGTGGCCAGCCAGTTGCCAGCAGGGATGGAATGGGCTGCCTTTCTTGGGAGTAAGATTAAGAACTCAGGCATGGGAAGGAAAGCAAGAGATCACCTGGGGAGATAATGAATTTGTCTGGGGGTAGATTTGGGCCTTAGTTAGACTACATCTGCCTTTGTACATTCATGTCCTTTGCTTCAAATTGTCATGTATTTCTTTGTGTTAGTACAAGTGTGTATTAGTGGTTGGTCCACAAATAGAATGTGAGGCCTACTACTGACCAGCTCAAGGAGATCCCCTTTAGTTCAAGTAGTAGAGACCTATGATTTTGTAGATGAAATACCCAGCTCCCCTGTCAAGCGGCATGCATATAAACTCTATCTAACAATTGTGCCTTTTGCTAGCAGGCATGAATTCCTTACACCTTCTCAATACGATCCAGATAACACCCTTGGATCCCCATGGGATTATATGGAGGGTGAATCTACGAGATTTCTTGCCCTTAATGTCATTATCCTTGTCTGGCAAACACATTGTCTCGCCTTGCTTTTTTCATCTTTCATGCTCTTACACTTGTAAATGCTCACTGCAAGTGACTAGTAAAATATATAAAACAGATGCACAGTTGCATCTTGGGATGAATAAATTCTGTGTGTGTGAGAGAGAACAAATGTGTGGGTAGGTCAGTGAACATGCTGGCTACACACTACAGCTGATTTTGAAACCTCTAGATCTTGGCCACAGTTTTTCCCTCTAAATATTGAAACTAGCAAGAATATCTCTGGAACTCATTCTTTGCCAAATATCATGTTTTAATTTAAATCGAGCCATTTTTTAAGCTAAGGAGGCCAAAATGTCTCCAAAACCATTTAACAACTATTTTTCCCCACTCAACTGTATAACTTAAAATGGCCAAACTGATGTTTTCTTTTTTACATCAACAAAAGGGTGTGGGGCGGGGAAACAGCTCCACAGGCAGGCCCCTTGGACAAGTTTCCAAAGCCTCACGAAACGGACAGGCAGTGCCTTATGTGGACAGCCCAGCATTTGTATGTGCAAATTGGTTTACTGGGGAGCAATTACAAATGGAAATTCAGGATTTTGCCCATGCCTTTTGAACAACTATGGGTTGGGCCTTGAAAACTTGACCCTGCATGTCAAGTTGCAGCAGGTTTTCACAGATAGACTCGGATTTTCTGAATTACGTACACAATCATGTATTGCAAGAGGCAGCTGCAGCATGGTCTTATGAGAAAATGATGCTCACAGCTCTGAATTCACACTTCTGAAAAATCTGGGCTTACGCGTCCAATCCCTCAAAAGATAGTTTTTCATAATGGAAATGGGAATGGAACGAATGATGAATCTATAATTAATGGCAAAATGGCACAAGTGGAATAAGGATAGGGAGAACAATAGCAATGCTAATGGCCATTTGGCCAGCTCACTCTACTTCGGCCAACTACTTTGGTGATGGGGCACACTAAATTGTTTCTGTTCCAATCATGGCCTCTGCTACTCCTTAGCAGGACCAGTGAGAAAATTAAATTGATGGTCTTATGAGCAGGGCACTGGATTGGCATTCAAGAAGTGTGGGTTCAGTTCCTACCTCCACCATGGACTTCCTCTGTGACCTTGGGCAAGTTGCTCGGGCCCAGAGCCTCAGAGGCATTTAGAAATCAATGGGAGTTAGGCCTCTAAATACCTTTTAAGTTCTGGGCCTGGATGACTTGGTTCCCCATCTGTAAGATAGGGTTAACTGTGCCTAGTTTCACAGGTATATTGCGAGGATAAATTCATTAATGTTTTGAGGTGCCCTGATTCTACATTGTTGGGGGTGAGAAGCATATAAATAGTTGGAACTATAAACTATTACAGCAACAAATAGACAAGGCTTGGTCAGATGTGATTATTCCATGCCCTACCTACTGTATATTAGATGGCACCATAGGTGCTGGAATGAGGGGTGCTGCCATACCCCCTGGCTTCCATTATATACAGGGTTTACAGTTAGGTTCAATGGCTCTCAGCACCTCCACTTTCAAAATAGTTCCAGCACCCCTGAATGGCACATTCAGCGATGGGCTTACTTTCTTAACAGTGAAATAAGTTAAATATTTAAGCACTGAACCTGGATAATCTAGAAGAATGAATTAGCGCACCGTTCAAAATAAAGATCTTTAAACTTTCCTTTATGTTTCTGTATAGAAGCCCAAGGAGTCTGCTAAGTGAAACAGCTACAAATTGAGCCTCCGATACAGTAGGTTTACCAGTATTTTTCTTCTATGCTTGAACAATAAAGTAGTTGGTGGTCTCTAATGCTACTGCCTCTTAACATTCCTGGATTTTATTAGGATAACCCCATAAACCTGAAAGACCCAACCTAACAGGAGCAGTGGCTTTTGTTCAACAATCACAAGTTTCTTCTTGTTCAGTGTTGGACTCAAGAGTGTGTGAAGTATGTATAGGGGGAGGAGGCCCTGAGGGCACAATAAGCAAAAGGTTTAAATGCTTGTTATGAGGGGAGGGAGAAAGGCAGGCCTGCGTCATAGTGCTAATGTATAAAACTACCTGATACACGAAAGGGTTTCATCCAGTCCCTGTTACGTGTGGCCAAATCCCTAGCTGGTGTAAATTGAGGAAGCTGCATTGATTTCAATGGAGCGATACTGATTTACACCAGCCAAGGCTGTGGCCCTGTATCACAAACCTTGAGTCACTGGAACACCTTTCCAACTACTGGGATGTTAAGATATTCCTAACACATCCATGCAGAGTGGAAAGATGCATTTCCTGGCTATGCTTAGTCTGTTCAGCAATTAATTGTTCCTTCTGTTTCTTAAATGCACAGAATATAACAGGAAGGGTGCTCTTAATATCAAATGAAACTTCAGCTTGGCTTATTATAACAGCCTGACCTCAGGGGATAAAGCTTTAGTGGAGCCCATGTGAATTTACCCATGTACGTGCCAATTTTATTAATAGACAGTGCAGCAAGTTATCATTATATAATGTGCTGCAAAAACTTCCTTCATCTCATCTTCACATACTACGGACACCAGCAGAGTTTCTATGGATTTGAATCTCTGCAGCTCACCTTGTGCTGTCAGGGTTTTGACTTCTGATACACTCTTGGAAACACCGGAAGAAAAAAAAATCTCAGCTCTAAAACTGCCATAGTAGTAAGCACTTAGTTACATGCAGAATCTTCACAGATGGTTGCAAGGCCAACTATCAACTTTCAGTCCTCAGTGTTGTATCAAGTGTCTAGCACGGGGTACCCCTCCCCACAGACCCTGCTGTTTCTCAGCCCCTGCTCCATGATACCCTAAACCAGTTCTCTCTAGGCGATACATGAATAAGGTCAATAAGAACAAATGACTCAAACATAACAAAACACTTGGACAGTATTGTGACGTTCATAGGAGGAATGGGCAAACCTCATGGGGCTAGAGTTGATTGGACTATTTTATGTACTAAATGTAGAACTCGCCAAAAACTGGGCTGTTCATAAACAAGTGCTACCATACTCCCTCTAATTCTACACATGCACACATGAGTATTTACATTTTTAATATAATTTT